CCCACGGGTGTGTCCAGTTTGTTTTCACTTCACTCTCTGCAGCTCGTTTCACTCAGCTGCTCCTGACAAGGCTGTGGTAAAACAGAGAGTTTGAGTTGAGCCCAGGCCATAGATGAGCAGCCAAGGGTTTGGAGGATATACAGGCTAATCGTGAGATACAGTGCTAAAGAAAGGAGCAATGTTCATCTCCAGGTACCACGGATCACTCAGGATCCTCAGTTTTCAAAGCTCTCACACATTTCTTAATCCGTGTGTATTCACAGTGTGAGCTCAGGCTGAAGTCTTGTAAGTCTGACTCAGTATGTATGACTTATCTCTGCTTGGAACTCAGTGACACATAAGGGAACAAATGAGCCGCTAAGATTACCTGAAAAATCTGCACAGCTCTAATTGATCAGGACAGGAGCTTTTTGGTTGGGATTTAAGTACAGTTTTTTATATTTTGAACAAATCCAAATTAAATCCATCCATGAACAGCACAAATAAAGAAAATCTCTTAAAATGGCCAAGCTTTCAAATTAATTTTTGTAACTTTGTGTCACCTAATATAAGTTTTCATTCACATTTTTGAAAAGTTGGGCCAGTACAGCCGGCTCAAACGTGTTGACCATCAGCTCAAATCCTTCAAACACTGCTGCATGTGGTCATCCCTCTACAGTATATGGCTCTTACATTCGTTTATGTGAGCAAGATTTCAAATCCGCTGTATGTTCTGATTATGCTTTGGTGTCTTCTGCTTTTTAGCGCTGCGCCATTTTACCTACTGCATCATGTTGGTTGTGTTATTTGTGTCATTTTTTTAGTCTCTAAAGATTCTGCAAACAGTTTTTTGTCTTGTCTGTTTTCTTCTCACATCACGTCTACGCTCGCTTTGAAACCAGACGTAATCTCAACCTCACAATCTTCATTTGGTTCTGTCATGAATGTACGCCTCTTATCTACAGCTACTGACAAGAGAAGCCAAAAGTAGATCGGTATGAGGTATCTTTATTAGCACATGAAAAGGTACATTTATTGTGCAGACTTGAAATTCTGCATTGAAAAAAAAACAGCACATTACAGCAATACACATAATAGTAATACATTTAATTTGTAATGCACTTTACATTTTTGCAAAAAAAAATCTCAAAGTGCTACTGGAAAAAAAATAAAAAAAATAAAAAACTAATTTCAGCATTTTCACCATTCACAGATTAAGGGATGTCTGGGCATAAAACACTAAAAACAAACAAAAAAATCTTTAAAAAAAAAACATCCATTCAATCAACTCATGATGAAGTGCTTTCGAAGACACCCACTCAAAAATGTAGCGCCCTCTGCTGGTTAAATAAAAAGCATGTCAATGTATATTTGTTTTGATGTTTTAATCTAGCCTGAGGTTTTCTAACTTTTAGAAATGATCCTCCAAACACCAAATCATATGGCTCTTACAGATGGCCAGTTATACTTGCGCCCCTGTTGCGCCCCACGTGTAATGTTCAATGTGTAATGCGCGGTTGCAGAATGGCGGGGGAGGTTGTTAATGCCCATGATCTGCCATAGGAGGGAGTGCCAGAGGACTGAAAGGGGGGAGACTGGGAATGTGAAATGTCAGAGTCTGCAAAGCGAAACAGTGCGTGTGTGTGTGTGTGTGTGTGTGTGTGTGTGTGTGTGTGTGTGTGTGTGTGTGTGTGTGTGTGTGTGTGTGTGTGTGTGTGTGTGTGTGTGTGTGTGTGTGTGTGTGTGTGTGTGTGTGTGTAGTTCCATCTCACTAATGCAATGTTTTAATAGCTCCTTTTTGACAGCCACACAGGCTGATGGTGGCAATAATGATGGTGGTACTTCATTACTGTTATTGCAGAACAGCAATCTGGGCTATAGGAGTAATAGGAGCAAACCTCCTAATCTATCAGCCTGTGTTAGCTGCTTTAACCGCTGCTAGCTCAGCTGGCTAAGCAGTACTCCACTGAATGACCACAGCCGCCTGGCCTCACTCGACTCCACTATGTGCTTTGGCCACCAGTGTGTGTTGGCCTGTCTCCAGTCTGCCTACTCCAGATCTATATGCTGAATTATTGATAGAGCAGCAGTCACAGAGAGAGAGAGAGAGAGAGAGAGAGAGAGAGAGAGACGCAGAGGGATAAAGCGATAGAGACCCTGAAGGAGGGGAAATTACATTGAAGAGAAGAAGATGCACTCTGAGAAAGGGCAGGGTGCCCGAGAAGGAGAGAGAGAGAGAGAGAGATGGCAAGGGAGTGAGGAAGCAAGATGAAGAGAGAGAGAGAGAGAGAGAGAGAGAGAGGGACAGATTAAAGAAATAGGAGCCTCACACACTGAACTCAACACGCATCAGCAACACCAGATACGTTTTTATTATTCAGATGCTGCTGTGCATGTGAACAAGAGCCTCTCTCTCTCTCTCTCTCTGTGTGCTTAGGCCACCTCAGGAGCACACCATGCTGCTGTCTGCAGGCTTTACCTCCACCCTGCAGGACTCATATAGCTGTGGGAAAAGTAAAGTGTGCAGAGACAGGGGAGGGGTGGGCGAGGGTTAAATATATATGAATGTATCAAAATAGTCAGTTTAAAAAATACATTTTATGTTGATTTAAACAAAGCTGCTGTAAATAGTTGTAATCTGTTTATAAAACAGACTTAAATGAGATATGATGCCTTTTTATGAGCTACAAATGCAAACAAGTCAGGAATATGATTATTTAAATTCCTGTTACTGCTGCTACAGAGTCAGCGTCCAACAAAGTGGTTCACAGCAAGCTGCACAAACGGCCCTTTTCCACTCCTCAGTAAAGATCCACAGTGAGTTATACATTTGACATTTAAAAGACAGCAGGAGGACATTATTAATATCTTCTATGTTGGCCCTCCAGCCACCCGCCACGAGCCAGGGCTGTAGCCCATAGACTTGATGTAGCTCTGGTTAGTGGGCCTGCTCTCCCCACTCTACTGCCCAGATGTAGACAAGCACAGTTAAGGGATAGCGTCTGGTAGGAGCAGCATGGTTTGCCAGTATTTTGTATTTTATTGCTTCCAGCTTGCAGCCTCTCCTCACCATTGGCCATGTAAAAGTAATGTGGTGAATCTGACAGCAGTGTTGTCAGCTTCCCCCAACTTTACCGTGTAGTGACTGGATATTAACTCAAGGGAGAAGGGGTTTCCTTTTCCCAGCGCATGGACTCACAGGCACACACAAACAAAGCCAATTCGGAGAGTAATACAATGTATGGAAGTTAGTTGTACGCAAAATCGAAAAAGACTGCAATTCACAAGCACATGATACGCTGTGGATGCCATACCGAACGGTTTAAAATTATATTAAGATTTTTTGCATTCCTAGTAACCTTGCTTATCAAACATGTGGCAGGATAAATGTGGACATTTGTGGATGTTAAAAAGGACTGAAGGGTGGCGGTGATAGCTATTGATAGCCACACTCTTCAAAGCAAATCACACTGTTTACCTGCAGACTAATTAAATAATTTGTTCTCCATTTTGACTGTTTTTTTACATAGTAGTCTGTGAGTCTGAATTTAAATTTCTGTTTTCTTTAGATGAGATACATTTTTGGTAGTTTTATATTTTTTTCTAAGCTCCTGTGAGGAACTTTCAGTTTGTATTGATTTTGGAGCCCCCCATTGGTTTCCTATCTTTGCTGATTTTGTCCTGTGTATGCAGATGTGTAAGTGTTTTCTTACCAAAAGCTCTCATCCTGCTTTGTTTTAATAGTCAAAAGTTTCAGGAATTTTGGATATTTGCTGTGGAAAATGTAAACAAAGGCTGCTCTTCATCTTCGGTTAATCATCTCTTCTGACACCTATCCTGCAGCAGTCATAAAAAAAGCATTATTAGAGGAACAGGATCATTTAAGAAGGATATTTCGGCCTGATTTTTGGTTAACAAAGTACGTATTTATGATAAGAAGCCTGGGCTGCAGAGAAAGACGAGTTCTCTGCCAGAGTGTCTTTTTATACCACTGGGAGTTTTCTGAGTGGGAAATTATTTCAAATCTGCCCTTTGTGTCTTTAAAGTTGGAAAAAGTTCCATTATGTTGGTGGGCTAATGCAGTGGACACATTTCACATTAAAGCACACTTACTGCTGCATTTGGTACCCCACAGAAAAATAATGCTCACACTGTTGGATTATCTAAATCATGAGTGATGCCGTAAGTTCATTTTGAAGCCGAATGGAAGCTATCGGCCGGCAGGAAGTCGAGAAAACCCCCACTGAACAGAAAGAAACATTACAGCATGCTTTGAAAGTGGGTTTAAGTGAAGGTAATGTGATTAGTTGTAACTGTGTTAAAAGGTGACAAATTGCTGCCTCTGTCTTTGAAATAACGGGACTGTGTGTATTAGTGCTGGTTGTTTTCTATCAGCGGCCTGAGGGCCAAATCAGGCCTTTTAAAGCCCTCAGCCTGCTCCTCAATCTGTAAACATTTATAAGATTTAATGACATAAAAGTGTTGAATATATAAAAAAACATGTACTTTAAAGGTGTCAAAATGTTCAATACTTTGATATTTTCCAAAACCACATATCCCAAACAATAGAATCCCTGTTGTTTTAATGATTGATAGTATTAAGTATTAAAGCTTTTGGAAAACTTGAGCTCTTTAGTCATATTTTTAACCAAAAGCTGCCATGAGAGAATGATAGAGAGAGCACTGTCTAATTTGTACAAATGCATTGGCAATGTTTTGGGGCTGAAATGTTGTTTATGTATTTGTTCCATTGAGACCTTTAACCATCAACCTTCCTATGTCTTATGTTTTTGTTTTTTCAAATTCAGACCTTCCTTTCAAAATGAATTGTGTAGTCCTGTACAGCGCAGCATATATCACTTGTTGTCATTATATATGCAGTGTCTTCTGAAGTACATTCTTGCTGAATAAAGCAAAGATAAATTATGTCCTCACTGCTGCCCACATTGTTGCTGTACTGCATTGATCTGATAGTTGCTGATGAACTAATACTCGTGTCTCTTTCTTTGCCCCTGCTGCAGTCGATGCAGTCTTCCAGAGGCTCTCCCTCCGCGTGGCTGAGAAACCAGCAGCAGCAGCATGTCCCGCATCTCCTCCACCGCCAAGCGCTACGCTGGCCCCTCCTACACCAGCCACTACAGCTCCTACAGCTCCCTGAGCCCGGGCCTTAGCTCCTACGGCGAGCGGGACAGGGTGTCCTCCTACAAGTCCCCCACCTCCTCCTCCTCCATCTCTTCCTCAGGTTACTCCTCCTCCAGCTACCAGAACAGCTCTGCCCTCCGCAGCCGCAACTACAGCACCTCCACGGACCCCGACCCTGACCGGGGGCGCACCATCCCGCGCGCAGACATCCTGGGAAGCAGCAGTGGCAGCAGCAGCAGCAGCATCAGCAGCAGACGGAGCAAGAGCCTCAGCAGGACCCCCATCAAGAGCTACAGCGGGTCGGGGTTGAGCGGGGGATCGACCTACACTAGCCCCAGTTCCTACTCTTCGTCCTCAGCCAAGATCAGCTACCTCTACAGTCCACCGGTGGCCTCGAGCATCTCGCTAAGCCGACGAAAATCTGTATCCCAGAGTGACTTGAGCAGGGACCTGGCTTCTCTGGGCCTCAGCGACACCTCCTCCTCTTCCTCCACCGCGTCCCCTTCCACCAGCGCCCTGCGAAGCTACCGCAGTCGAGCCAGCGATGTGGCCAACTCGTACAGCTCCAGCTCCCGCCCTGGCTACTCGGGCCTGTTGAGGAGCTCTACTCAGGAGGCCCTCTCGCGGAGCTCCACCCAGGAGGCCTTTAGCAGCAGCAGCAGCAGCAGCAGCAGCAGAGCATACGGCTCTTCGACATGGGAGCCGAGCAGTAACAGGCTGTCCGACTCCCCCACCAGGGATTCCATGGTAAGAGAGCGTCCTCTGTTCTTTGCTCTTCTCTTGTCTAAGCTCGCTGCTTTTATTGGGCATGTGGGGGATCAATATGCAGGGCTGAGAAAAAGGCTGAGTAGCTGCAGTCTGCAACCCACAGGCACACTGGTTCATCTCTTTGGAATCACATTCATGGCAGAGGTCCACAATGAGTACCCAGTCTTTACCAGAGGGGGGCACTGTTGCTCAAATGAATTTGATGCTCTCAAATACCTGGTTTCCAAATCACTCCAGATGTTTACCACCCTCTAACATCCCTTGGTAGGACACTAAACATGACTATAATTTATCATTTGTGTTTAAAAAATCAACCACATGCAGACTGGAGGTCGTTATTCCAATGCGCAGGTGGATCCATGGTTATGTGAAAAATGAGCCCTCAGCACAGATATTTGAACCCTCACCAATTAGCACACTTACACGTCTCATAAGGTGGCCATGATGTGCAGGACTATGCAGGCCAGCAGCCTCAACTCTGAGCTCAGTATCAATGACCCCAATGAGCTCCCGGAATACAGGTCAGAAAGCAAAACTGACCCAGTTCCCGTCAGGATTAGTCCCCATGACTGCTTACATGAAAGGAAGAGAGTGAAGGAGGAGGCATAAAGAGAGAAAGAGAGAGAGAGAGAGAGAGAGAGAGAGAGAAAGAGAGAGTCAGGAAGGATTTGTTGGGAATCTTCCAGCACATTTCAATGTGTAACAACCAGAAGAAAATAACATCAAACTGAGTCTTAGGTATGTGGACTTAACAAGAATGTCATAAATCAGGATTATAGTGGGAGAGGAGAGAAATGCATGTGGAGCTGCAAATGATGTTTGGGCTCATCAGTCAAACAAAATTGAATCACAAAATATTCTGATAATGTTTTTATAACTGACGTGAAAATATGTAGGTTTTAATGTTTTTTTGCTTTTTTTTACATAAACAACAGCCAGTGCAGGAAAGATTGGGAGATCTTTAGGCCAGAGAAAGAAGAGCTCATGAGCATACATGATGTCAGTAGTAAAGTGTCCAAATTATAAAAACAACACATGTAGAAGTTAAAAGTTAAAAGCGAGGCAAGACGCTGACTGAAAAAGAAACTATGTGGAAAGCTAAGACGACGGACAAAGCTGCAGAGTTTCAACACTCTGTTGACAGTTTTTTGCCTTTGCCTTTATATCATGTAATTTGATGAATTCACAGAATGAATGAGGGGAGAAAAAAATGGAGAGAGAATAAATCGACAGGGAAATGAGTTGCTAAGCTAATGTCCATCTACGACTGGAGATCAGTAACTGAAAAAACTTTCCTGCAGTGGAATTGGCATGACTGAACTTGAGTTTTGTTTTCATTCAACCTGTGATGTAATCAACACAGACTGAGAAACACATGGCTTACACTGGATGTCACAAGTTGAGCTATTGGAGCTGTTAATTAACCCAGGCGTCTGTTCTTGGACACATGTAGTCACCCACGTGTTCCAGGTCCGCACTGAGGAAGTTTTAAGAGAAGAAAGCAGCCATAGCTTTACTTACTTACTTACTACTTTTTTATTGTATTTAAAAACTAGAAATAAACAAACATATTTGGGCATATTTGTAATAGCATTTACAGTACATCTTTGCAACTTTTATTTTATTGCACATGCTCATTGTGGTGATGAGGACATTGTGATTAATTGCACAGCTCTATAGTAAGGCATTAGACCCATCCATAATATTAGTGTTTATGAAACAACCTTACAGAAAAAACATCTATGAGTGTTGATCAAAGACAGCTCTGGGTTGATTAAAGGTTTAGAAGGACCCCCAGAATATTTTAGGTTGAGGTATTCTAATTTAAATCTTGCTGCTTCATTCTTCATTTTGGGAATGGCTCTTTTATTGAATGTCATTTTTCCGATGAAAAGTTGAACTCCAGCTGTCTCTCCATTGGTCTATTAAACAGCCTCCCTAACAAGAATAATTAGATAAGGCTTAAAAAAAGAACCAGAACATAAGACACCACACATATATATGGTTTTAACCCAAACCCAAACTAACTTACTACCCAAACCAACCTACTAAAGACAAGACCCCCGAAAATAAGGCTACCAGGTATCTCCAGCCCAAACTAAAACAACAAAACCCAGCAATCTAAACATCCATGAGTATAATGATATACTATATAATGAAAACACAAGAGAGCTAAAGAGCTCCTCACCTTCTGGAGTGCTAATTGCACTCAGGAGTGCAGCACGCAGAGGGAGGCAGGGGAGCATACAGAGACCAGGCCACAGACCAGTATGACGCTGCATCTCAATCGGTACATTTATGGCAGGGTGGGTAGTGAGGTAAATATACCCGGATGGCCCACCAAGGTATTGTCAATGACATCTCTCCAGCATGGAGGTCCAATTTATAAAGATGTTCATAATCATTTTAACCCATTAGTGTTTCTGGTGCAGACTAGCGAGGGTGATGATGTTTAACCACTTTGTCAACTAAACGTGCACATCCCTCAAAATAACTTAGCGCCAGTTCTCCTGCTGTTGTGAAATATAACTTCAATACTGTATTTAGTTAGACGTTTTAGGGATATTTTCAGGTATATATGTACTACACTTTTATTTAATATTTCTATAAACTTTTGACTTTCACCTTCCTGTGTTTTATTTAAAATATCTTCATTTTACTAAACATGTCAATCAGACTCAACAAAGATAGTTTACTTTACTGAGTGTTCACTGAGTCTTAACAATACACAGACATTACACTTCAGTGGCAGTTTAGCTTATCAGTAAGTTAGCATACACATACACTTGATATTTTTTAGTGTTTCACAAACTGGGTCACCCACAATGCAGAGCTGCTCTTGACCAATCAAGCTGAAAAGATAGATACAGTTGATTTCAACCTGGCCATTGTTTTCATCCATTACGAAACATTGAACTGAACAAAATGTTTGCAGAGGTCTCAGGATTGCTTAAAAAATGTCAAACAGTGCAATCATAAAGGTAAAGCAACTTTCAGAACAGAAGATTTAAAACTCAAACTTTGCTGTAGTCATGCACTCTCACTAGGGATGGGGATTGAAACCTGGCTTCATTCAGACCTGGTTCTGCATTTTGCAAAAAAAAAACTCTGTTTACTCAGACTACTGCTGCAAGTAACATACAGACAACGCAGGCACATAATAATATTCCTCCTCCTCCCCCTCCTCCACTTAAAGCAGCCGTAGTAAGCACATCCAAAGTTTGCAACATGTCCCGTTGTTTAAAGCCAGTAATCCAATGTTGAAATCTGTGTTGAAATCATCAGGACAGAAGCTAGTCAGCTAACTAAACAAGTGAGATAATGTTACAGTATGATTGGAAAGAAACTTTAATTTTTATAGATGTTTGGAGGACAAGTGTGTTTGTTTTCTCAGCATATATAATTGATATACCAGTTCTGTTAAAAACATATAGTCATCTCATGTTTCCACAGTATTGAAAGTGGTATTGATAACCTCTCAGATCATGAAGGAGTCTGGATAATTGTATCATCATTTCAATACAAATTCACGATCCCTACCCCTAGCTCACAGTTTTTATGTACACTGTCTGGTGTATTTGTGGAACATTATTCACAGGAAGTTCTCCCTCAAAATAAAGTGTATAGCTGATCAAAGTTAGCTTTTGGCTGGTCTGATGTCTAAAAAAAAGAGTACAAGCTTCAGACTTAGTGAAATCATTTGAAGTTGTTGTTCAGGTGCAGTGCAGTGTTTCCTCTGCTGTTTGTATTGACGCCTCTCATTCATGTGTTTTCTCTTTGGAACCGAACAAATAGAAAAATAGCAGAGAACCCAGGCGGGCCCTGTCTGAGTGAACACTGTCTTGAGTTTTGCACCTCCAGTTCTTTGTCAGCACTTTCTATCGAGACAGCATTTTTTTTTCAGACAAGCCAACTCTCAGTTTTGTGCCTTGGTTTGATAAAAAACTGAAAAGCAAATGCTGGAATGATTAGATTTTTGTTCTTTGTTCATTGCAAATGTAGGCCAGCACTTCAGTATTTCAGCCGTGACTGTTTGATTGGGTTTTGTGTGTCAGTGTGTGGCATATCAAGGCAGCTGCTTTAACATCACACTCAAGCTCCAAAAAGATAAAATACTGCTCCAATTCTATCAGCAATGAGATCTCCACCTCAATCAAAATAAGGTGAGAAAGAGGATTCTGTATTTTAACCTGGGATCTATTTTTTATTAAACTACATTGGGGTCTTAATGAATAATAGAGACAAGAAAACAGATTTATATTTTCATTTCACTGTACAGTGTTCCCCTTTGTTATTTTGTTTTGTATTATAGCTTTGCTTTAATACAGTGTATAGCTTATTTACTTAGCTGTTACTACAACTTTTTTTTTTTTTTGTACTTTTCTACTCTTTTTTTCTTATAATGCTAGTCTATTTTATATATCATTTTAATTTTAATTTTTTGTAGAAGCTGACTCAGGGAGAAACGCACAAAAATTCCAATGTACCTGTACTGTCCTATACCTGTGCAAATGGCAACAAACATCTATTCTATTCAATTCTAAACATGACAGAAAAAGCTATTGTCCCGATGTACTGTCTGTAATCTAGCAAGGCTATTCTCAGAGCGTTCATGGTTCCGATGTGTCCCCTCTTATCGATTGATGGTTAGATCCCTGGTTACTTCTTTTCCAAAAGTCATGTGTGTGTGTGTTAAGCATGTTCACTAATAGACATTCTACTTTGTCTTTTTCCTCCTCCAAGCCAGAGATAGACTCACTTTTTAACCTTAATGAATTGTGTAATTGTACTTGGCTATGTGCTATAGGTGAGGACACATCTAGAGGGCACCCCAGAGTTTATATATACAACTACCAGGTTTATATATTTAAGTGGGATTTATACGACATACAAACAACAGGTTACTTTGACTCTCCGAGGTTGATTTGTTGTTGATTTGTTGTTGATTTGTTGTTGATTTGTTGTTGTTTTGTTGCCTGTTTTTATGTAATGTTGATGTAGTGATTGGATATACAATAAGTCTGTACGTAATGTTTTATTTCCTCTTGTTTACCTTGCATTTGCTGGAAGTGGCTCTGTCTAAGAATAGACTCTGGGTCTGTGGGTAGGGGTGAGAGAGTCACATGCTAACTCATGATTATTACATACTATATGCGATACATGTCCCAAGTTAAAGATAACATCATGATATTAGCGATTCTACGATTGCTTATATATTGCAAGAAAATCGTTTGTTGATACATCAGGATATCTGATGAATTCCCTTTGGAACAACTGTTGGATCAGTTTTAGATTTCTCCGTGTGCTTGTTGTATGATTTTATTTAAATATATCACCAAGAAAACATTACATTAATGTAAAAGAATCCTGACATTAGCAGCAGCTTAAGACCTGGAATTATACCCTTGAAGAGATGAGGAAGATTTGTTTGTTCTCCGCCATAGTTGTTGACATAGCTGATATCAGAAGTCCCGACCCCTTCTTGAGTCTGATAGGTAGGTGAGGGAGAAGTGACATTTATGAGCGTGGTAGTGTCCCAAAAGTTGAACTGATGCCGAGGGTGTTGAAAACTCTGAACTACATCTGTTCTGCCAGCACAAAAAAAAAAACAGTCTTATAGCGGACACAGGTCCTAATGTATTTATTCACTGCAATGTGGTGTCAGTTTCACCTCTTATCATTCATGCTTTAACCACTTTCTTCTTCTTCTTTAGCCTCTGACTTCTGTTATCATTATCAACATTCATGACATAGGCGCCACTATGCAGAGTCATGAAGTAGCTCTGTATTTAAATTGAAATATGTACGTATGGCACAGGTGGTATAATAGTTGTATCACATGAGCCAGGACGATGTGATATTGTAGTTTCAATATTTTGTCCAACCCCAAACACACAATTCAATTCAAAAAACGTGCAGGTAGACGAAACATTTTAAACCTAAAATATAAAGTGTCAATTTAAATACAACGTAAAGCTTAAACTTAACTTAAAAATACAAAATATAAAAAGAGTAGATATAAGTGGACAGTGATCGGACTAACAGATGTAAACAGAACTATGTGCAGTAAACGAGAAATAAATATATATATACAGAACTATGTGCAAGTAGGCAAATACTAAATGATAAGTTATAAGGTGCAAGAAAGCAAACTTGGGTGGGCTCAGCAGTTTCTAGGGAGCATGCAGCACTCTTGTGCCGCCTGAGCTAATAGCTCACTAATCTGGTACAAACCTCACATCCAGTTCTGTATTCGCTGTACAGAAGACTTCATTCTGTACTGGAACATGACACTGAAGACTTCACTGTTTACACCTCTCAACACACCACCCTGAGCTCTCCTGCATACTGCTGTACGGATGAGATGACTTTTATTGTGTACAGATCAGGTCTGCTATTAACAACAATGAATTACCTTCCACGGGTATTGTGTTGTAACACGGTTTATAATGTAAACTTCTGGGTGGAGAGTTTTCAGTCTATTCTGGTTAATTTAGCTTAGCTGGGTTGTTGATTCTCTATTTATTTGCTAATATTGTGTGTTTGGATAACCTTCTGCTGTAACGCCACAATTTCCCAGTTTGGGATCAATAAAGTAATTATATTCTATTCTATTCTATCCAGGTAACACTGCTCAGAAACAACATTTGTCCCATTTTGGACCAGACTGCTCAGCTTGTTTGCTCATGACTCTTTTCCCCCTTCTCTCACTTTGTAGTTTTCCAACTCAACGATTTAGACATCACCGACACACACACACACACACACACACACACACACACACACACACACACACACACGTAAGGAATGTGCTCCTTGGATGTTTGTTGTGTAAACATCATTTGAGCCTGCATTGGGTCATGAGATCGCTGCTTGGGGACATGTTGCCCTTCTTCCCCTCGACACACACAAGCTAAAATAATCATGCAGTGCTGGTATATTTAACACAGCTTTATTTACAAAACTAAGGCGATACATGATACGGCGATTAGAAGGAAAACCAAATGAAACGATATGTTGAGGTTTTTTTTATGTCAAAAGTAGAGAATAGAACACGAGCAGCAGGTGCATCCATGTACTGTACTTCAAGAAATTAGACTTTTAAGACTTAACATTTTAAAAGAGCATTTAAAGTTGCACTAACACATTAACAGGATTTTTTTTTAGTAAGAAAATAGTGCAATGATTAAGAGTCAAATGATTTTGAAATAAATATTAGATTGATCTTGTGTATAGGTTTGTGTGACTGTATGCTTTTTTCTTTTTAGATGTTTATGTATCCCAGGATTACATGTCAGACATTGTGCCTTTAAATGGATGAATGGATGTTCTCTCTTTGTTGTTTCTTTTCTTTTTGAGAAGTGTGGGTTGTCAAACTGCTGGTTTAATCTAGAATTGCAACAGTAATTCTCCTTTATCCTCTTATTGCAACAGAGTGAAGCTAATAAGAACTAAACCCTCGTTGTTTGTGCGCGCTCGTGAACCACAGGAAACACCAATAATCACCCTTTTTTTAGGACAGTAGATTCTGATTTTAAAGGTCTTTAGAGTAAAAGACATTCCTTTGGTCACGTTTGTTTCGCCATTCATGCGTCTTCTTCATCACGCTCCCATTGATAAAATTTGAATATGGGTTGGTTTTCTGTCATGACGACTGTGACATGATGACTGGTCTCCTTGGACCACCACAGTCCTCCAGAGGGTTACAGAAGTGTGGAAAAGGATGTGCAGTGACGTAAGCGGCTCAACTGGAGGCGGTCGCCGACGTTTGATGTAGGCCGACTTTTACTGTAGTCAAAAGGGGGCGGAGCTTGAGTCATGTAAAACGTAGTGGGAGCACAATACAGGATATATTTGTTGCCATTTAATGACTTGACGAGCGCGTCGAAGACACCTGCGGAGGATGAGAGAGCAGTTGCAGCTTTTTTTGTCACAATTCCATCCTTTATATCCGCTTTGTGCGTGACTCGTCGCCTCTCATACAGGAAAATCACTATAGGTAGATTTATTTAAAGGGAAAGCCACAGGTCCACTATTCGGCGTGATTTGTGAGGTGTCTGCCGTTGTATGAATGAATGAATGACAAACATCTGGCTGGGAGCCTATCAGGAACGGAGAGAAACGTCTAATTCATACAAAACACTGCACAGCATCAGAGCAGGAGCGGACAGAAAACCTTCACTGGTCCTCTGAGTAACTCGAACCAACCCGGTTCTTCCTACCGCCAGCATGCCGAGCATGCGACAGTCCTACACTGTCACCGTACCCGAGGAGCCGCCGGCCACAGCTTTCCCCTTCTTGAAGCAGGAGATGCGGAGAAAAGGCAGCATGTCCGGCTCCATGCTGGTGTCCACCTTCGTAGGGCTTCTAATAAACCAAGCCAAGGTAAGAGGCAGTGTCCGCTCCGTCACCGTTATGTCAGCCTCGAAGAAAACGTCAAGCGAAACCTCAGCTAAAAAACAGGCAATTTAATGTTTATAGCGCACTATGACTTTAAAACTCTCATAGCTGCAACGTGAATCTTCTGGCATGTACTTTGAAATCCGGCTTATATAATACACTAAATAGCAGTGAGTTCGTGTTCAGTCAGGGAATGTGTGCCTGTAGTAGCGTCTAAGTTATCTCATGTCATCAAAATACTCGCTGGGGATGGTCACAAACAGTGTTAGTCAGATTAATATGCTAAATTGCTGCGTTCGGATTCATATATAAAGTATAATTTAAAATATTTTCTCCTTATATAGTGTTAGATGTAATACATGTGTGAATGTAAGCCGGTTCCTTTACCAGCAGAAATGTGTGCTGTAGTCACAGTAAACAGGACAGATGTGCATGTCACTGACAGCGTTATGCATCCTGTCAGAGATGATGTCAGTTTAATGTTGAATTGAGTCATTTGCAGAAGTAAGCCTCTCTTTTAAGCCGCTGTACTTCGCTGTGCCAGGATCAGTAGGCCTGCACTGGCAGGTCACTGGTTATATAACCAACGTTTAATCCCCCTCATACACTTCTGCTGCTCATAGTGCCCTTTATGTATACCACTGTGGTCTATAATGGAAGCACATAAAGAACTAACCTACTTTCAGGGGGGGGGGGGGTTCTTACTGTATGGTTGTTTCCATGTGAACACGGCCACATGTAGATTAATGTAGGGCTGATTACACAATGCTGCCGGGTCAGCCTTCAGACAGCAGAATTATGCTTTCAATTCAAATTTGCTATTTCCTCGATCACGCTTCTGCAGCTAGTTTAATATTTTAACATTTGGAAAATGTCCTCAGGTTCAGGATAAAATGTGTTAAATGTGACATAGAAAACGTAACAAAAAAAGAGAGTTTTTGCTGTTTTAAATCCTTTCATTCTGGAGACATTTTGGGATACCAGAAACTTTAACTTCTTCAAAACGAGTAAAAAAGTCCAAAGCATGCACCCAATGTTTGTTATTTTGTTGTTTCTAATATTCAGAAAAATTGCAGGTAATCTTCTGTACAAATTGAACAAATACATTGGTGACATCTCAGTACTGAAACCAATGTATTTGTGCATTGAAGAAAGTGTTACTAACTCTGCGCTCTGTCTGTTTGTCAGAGACTTAAACCTAACTTTAATGCCACGAGGACTTGAAAACATCAGTATCACTTAAGTTATTCCATGAGCGATGTTAGATGTGATGGACAATAATTTGCCAGTCCAGCTCTTACAACTCATGTGTTGTCATCAACGTATTGCTTTGTGTAATTAACTGATTGAAGATCTGTCCAGTTGTCAGCATGCGGCGGCTTCACTGTAGACATGAAACACTCTGATGTGCTTCACGCCTCTTGTAGATAAATGAAGGTTAAAATGAAAAGTGTACTATTGGCTAAAGGGAGATTTAAAGGCCTACTTGTCGGCGCCCTTTTTGTCCTAAAACGAGAAGAGGAAGCATTCTTAGCTGCAGATGTTAATGTGTGTGTAACTGAGTGTGGAGCAGAGCTCGGCGGCTGTGTGCCAGCTTTCTGTTATGTAATGAGAAATCACATTAGAATACACTTGAGTCTCGGCCAGGTTGGCAGCTTGGCTCAGTTTCTCTTTTGTTGTCACCTTCCACCTGCTCCTCCTGTCCTCTCCTTTTCCTCTTCCTCCACTCCATGCTCATCCTCCATCCTCCGCTCCCTTGCCTTGCATAAACAGGCGAGGAAAAGTGTTCTGTTGTTTTCTCTCAGAGTGAGTGCACATGTGGAGTTTCTGCGGGAGAGAAGTGTGTGTGTGTGTGTGTGCGTGCAGGTGTTTGTATGCACTGACATAAGAGCGTATGTTTCGCTCTGATCATGCACATGTTTTTGCACAGCAAGCAAGCTCAGACAGCTGGAAGGTTAAAGGTTACTTTTTGCCACAGCTTTCTAACTGCTTTTTTTTTGTTGCAATTTCCCATAAGCCTTATGGCCAATACCTAAATGAAAAATTGATCAGATGATTGACAGAAAATCAATTGAACACATAGCCATCGATTAATCATTAAACTGTTTTACTAGGTGAAAGTATTCAAGTTGTTTTGTTTGAAGAGTCAGTGGGTTGGAATTAATATACATCTTGTCCATACATGCAGTTTTCATTTACTGTTTTTTATGTTTTTATCAGAGATCCACCGAATGCAATGTCTTTGGTGGAAATTTTACAAAAAAATGTACCCTGAACATTTCCAGAAACGTCCCCTGGTTTCATTTCAAAGGAGCCGTTACTACATTTTGGATTGGATTGAGATTTGGTCTAGAGAACAAGTTAACATTGATTATTTTGGTTAAAAATTGTTTCAAAAATGACAAGACTAATACCTGACACCACTAGCGGACCAAGGGTTTTGATGTTTTTGAATTTTTGTTTTGTTGTTTCAGCACTTTCAGACATTTGGGGAAATTTTAAGGAGTTTTCTGCATGTGTGAAAACACCATAAGTCAGGTACATGTGTACATTTAGCATCTTGAAGCCCGTAGAGCTGTCTCAAATCATTTCTTAAACCTAAACAAGTAGTTTTGGTGCCTAAACCTGAATACATTTTGTTTTTTTTATTAAACTGAACCACCTTATTTGAGTTTAATGAACACACTCAGTAAAAAGAAATAACCTATATATGCCTGTTTAGTTTAGACCATGGTGTAATCTTTCAGCTGTGCAGCATGCTGTGAGCGGGCACAGAGTTCAGTACAATGTAAACAGACACCTCTTAGCTGGAAGTGAACTTTTTGAACACTGAGTGGAGTCTTTCCTGGGAGAGAAAAGCTTTCTGCTCTCATTCTCACAAGCTGTTATCTAGACAGTGTTGGATTCTAGTGTGACCCCCCCAGCTGAGTGATGAGCGTCTTCTCACAGCCTTTGATCTGATGAAATTTGGAGTTCCTAATATCCGAGTCTGTATTTATTTTAAATTCCCAGAAAGACGGAGGGTCTTACTTTTATTTGTTTGCTTGTAAGTGTGTGCGCACGTGTGGGTTAGTGTGAGCTGTGTTTTCATGTCACCAGACACTGTACCGTAATATAAGCAGGAGAAAACAAGTCTTGGCGGTATATAGACCAGTCTGTTTTTGGGGGTCTTCCTGTGTGATGATTTCCATTTTGTTCATCAAAGTCCACAACGTGCAGTTTCTGTGCAGTTTTGAAGCTCTTTTAGTACCATCTTTTTCCCCATGTGGAGTTTGTAGTCCTGCTAGCTTCCTGTACTGTAGCCGAGCTCTCAGCCTATCGTAATTTTGATCGTTGTGAAGTACAGACCCACAGCCCGCTGGTCACTTCTTGTCTTTAATTGAGGAGTCTTTTCAATCAGACTCCACAAGCTTTATTTACTGAACAGTATAACACTGTTTATTTGAATGCATGTTTATGATCTCATGAGAGAGAAAGGATAGTAACTGCTCCACATTGCTATGTATGTACCCTAGCACGGTTTGTGCATTAAAGCTTTCAATACACTTTGAACGGAGGTGTCAGGTCACATGCATTGGCTGATGGTGGTGGCTGCACTTGCAGTCATGATGTCTCATATCTCAGTATTTTATACTGGTGTTTTGGTTGAACCAGTATAAAGGACACAGCCCACTTCTTAGATTTAAAAAGGTATAAAAGAGTGTCTTATATACAAGATATTGATAACAATAAATGCTAAGGTTGTCAAATTTTTCTCAATTTTTATACTTCTCAATATCACTGGTTGTTCAAATGAAACAATCTGTAAACTTATAGATGAATAGTATTCAAAAGTGCAGAAGCTTCAGATCTTCAGTCATGACTTCAACTCCAAGCTGCGGCTATAAAGAGAGAGCAGTGGCTTAATTGTACAAATACATTGGCAACGTGGGCACACACACACACAAATAAACAAGTGTCACTTCTGTGGCAGAGGCAGAAATAGAGGTAACTCATACAGAGAGAGAGATTGTTTATGATGGTCTGCCAAGCAGAGAGAGGTCACCACAGACTGTTCTCCTTCCCTCTCTCTCTTCTCTCTCTCTCATGCTGCTGTGCCAGCCAATCAGCAGTTGGCACACTGCCCTGCTCTGCCAGGTGGACCCATGCCCCCTGCTGCTGACGATGTGAGGTTTAGTTTATAGCCCCAGAGACAGCAGCAGAGTCGGGAAGGGGAAACTTGTTATTGCTTTGGAGTTGGAGGGACGTTGCTAAAGCAATGCCAGTACTCAGTAAGATATCAGTCTTTCAGCTTTTCAGTTCCTGGAAAATTCCAGAGAATTCCAGGCAGGATGCCCCCCCGACATCTTCCTGAGTTGCTCTTTCACTCATGCGCCTGACAGAGGGGAACAGCATGTTTAGTCACCTAAACAGTTAAAGGTCACCCCCCCCCCCATATAGTTAACTCCAGAATTACTTGTCAATCAAACAAATTTGTAATATTTGCCCTCGTTACCAGTCAAATGTTGCTAAAACGTCATTGCTGCAAGACTGGCTGAAGTTCAGGTTAATGCTTTTCCTAGCTCTACTACCCAGACGCAAACAAGCATAGGCAGCAGATAGCACATGAACAAAGTGGTTTGACAGTTTTTTGGTTTAGGAATTAAAGACAGTGGTGGAAGAAGAAAGATGTAAGTAGGCTGTGTCAGGTTTGATTGGTGTATCGACTGGAGCAAAGGGTAGCCACGCTTAGCGTTTGTGGACATAAACCTGCTGGTGGTGCTAGCACTTTGCATGACACAGCCTACATAAAACTTGATCTCCATTTTCTAGAAATGAAGCTGACGAGGACTTCTATTTTTGTTGCTGTTGTTCTGGAATCATATCTTAATTTAAAATTCTATTATCGTGACAACGTTTGTTTAAGTCTCTTGTTTCCTCATAAAGTCACATAAAGACAGGAACCATTGTTTTCTTCCAGACTTCTCACCTTTCTTTGACCCATT